CGTTTGTACTTAATCCTATCTATTTACGTCTCTTTCCTGTAAGTTATTTGGTTTCTGTCTCTATGTTTGTTGCAAATATTGTATTCATAATGCTTAGAGAGTTGAGCTTGCCCTATATTGTACCATGTCCATTTCAGGATGGAGAATCTGGTTGGAGTAGTCTTCATAGAGCTTTGCATTTTGGTCATCTTGCAGTAGCTAGCGTACTAATTGACTCAGGTGCTTCTTTTACTCTAGAAGACATAAAACTGCGAACACCTGTTGATTTGGTCTCAGGTCCAGTGGCTCAGATTATTGGCGAGCAACAGAGTTCGGGTAAGTAATCTTTTCTCAACCTTCACCTTTAAGGGAAAACATGAAACTTCTGGTCACTCTTTCTTACACAACTTTTAAAAAGCTGAAATGTTGTGTTCATTTTCTTCTTTTCTTCAGTGGCTACCGAGGTTTTCAGCTGGGGAAATGGTGCAAACTACCAACTTGGAACTGGCAATCAACATGTTCAGAAGCTACCCGGCAGAGTTGATTCACTGCATGGTTGTTTTATTAAGTTGGTCTCTGCTGCAAAGTTCCATAGTGTTGCCATTAGTTCTCATGGAGAAGTATACACGTGGGGATTTGGAAGGGGTGGCCGCCTTGGACATCCTGAATTTGACATTCACAGGTGTGTATTGTTGTTACTCTAATATGGTGATTTGAGGAGTAGTGCTTTCATTCCTATAAAGATTCATGGTCTTATTTGTTGTGTTATAAAGATTTCCACTTGCCTATCCCGTTACTGCTGTTTCGAAATTCGTCTTACTCGATTTCTGATGGAACATGAAATGATCAACTATAGTCTTCTAAGCGTACATATATATAATTATAGCTTGCAGTTTTTTTTTTCTTTCTCAAGCTTATCGCAGTTTTTTTGAAAGTTTATGTAAACCACAATCAAGTTAATATTTCTGAATTATTATCTCAGTGGTCAAGCTGCGGTTATTACTCCCCGCCAGGTGATATCCGGTTTAGGATCACGCCGTGTAAAGGCAGTTGCGGCAGCTAAGCACCACACTGTCATTGCTACGGAAGGCGGGAGTGTATACACCTGGGGTTCCAATAGAGGTAAAACACTCAATTGGCTTCCTATTTTCAAGTGAATGGATCCTGGTTCTCTAGTATACTCAAGTTATAGCTAAGACTCTTAGCCCAGTTTCTTAGTTAATCTGAATTAGATGGAGCTATGTCTAATCTATTTGGGTCACCTCGTGGTATTTTATCCTCGAGTCTGATGTTGTTTGTGATGCTCTTGTAGAGGGGCAGCTTGGTTATACTTCTGTGGATACTCAGGCAACACCCCGCAAAGTGACTTCCTTGAAGGCAAAGATTGTAGCTGTTTCTGCAGCAAACAAACATACCGCCGTAGTTTCAGAGTGCGGTGAAGTTTTCACTTGGGGATGCAACAGGGAAGGTCAGCTTGGTTATGGAACCTCCAACTCAGCATCAAACTATTCTCCCAGATTGGTTGATTACTTGAAAGGAAAAGTTTTCACGGCTGTTGCATCTTCAAAATATCACACTCTAGTGTTGCGAAACGATGGAGAGGTAAAGTTTCTTACGACATTTTAAGTTTAACGTTTTAATACTATTATGTCAGTGTGTCAAGTTTATAGAATGTATGAGCGTGTGGAAATCATATCTAGAATATGAGAACTTAATCTGGATAAAAATTTATTTTTCTTTAGTATTTCTTTCTTTCTTCTGTGACCAGGTGTACACCTGGGGTCATCGGCTGGTGACTCCAAGACGTGTTATTATTTCCCGGAATTTAAAGAAAGCTGGGAATACACTATTGAACTTTCATCGAAGGAGACCTCTCCGATTGACTGCAATAGCTGCGGGAATGGTACACAGCTTGGCTCTAGCAGAAGATGGTGCATTATTTTATTGGGTTTCCTCCGACTCCAATCTTAGATGCCAACAGGTTGGATTAAACCTTCTCTTCCTTAAAAAAGTCTAAATAATCAATGACACGTACAGTAATAATCAAATGATGTTTAATTCTGATTCCCGCAGTTGCATTTGCTGCACGGTAAAACAGTTGTGAGCATTTCAGCGGGTAAATACTGGGCATCTGCTGTTACTAGTACAGGTGAAGTTTACATGTGGGATGGAAAAAATGTTAATGATATGCCACCGTCCCCTTCTCGCCTCCACAACTTGAAAAGGGCAACCACAGTTGCTGTTGGTGAAACACATCTTCTGGTTGTGGGTTCTCTGTATCATCCTGCCTATGCTCCTACTGTGCTTGGGAAGTCTCAAACTGTGCAAGCGAATGAAAGTAGGGAAGAAGAAGATGAAGAACTTGATGAGGGTTTTATGTTTAATGATGTGGAATCTGTGAATGTGTTAAAATCTGTGCAACACGATGATCCTAAGGAGAGGACGGTACCTAGTTTGAAAAGTTTATGCGAGAAGGTGGCAGCAGAATGTATTGTAGAGCCACGAAATGCTATTCAACTGCTTGAAATTGCAGATTCACTTGGAGCAGAGGACCTTAAGAAGTACTGTGAGGTAATGCTAAACTTCCTTTGTGATGATTGCACACTAAACCGGAGAGATAAAACAGATAGAAGTTTATGTTCAGTGTTGTCTTTTTGTGTCCTCGCTGATGATTACTATACATGTGTGTTCTTCCTGCAGGACATTGTGATCCGAAACCTTGACTTTATTTTGACGTTTTCACCCCAATCAATTGCAAATACATCACCTGATGTTCTTGCCAATCTTGAGAAATTATTGGATGACAGATCATCTGAAACATGGAGCTCCCGACCACTTCCAACACCAACAGCCACATTTCCTGTTGTTATAGATAGTGAAGAGGAGGAAAGTGAGAGCGACATTCTAAGAACTCGTGACAACCATGTGAAATACTTTTCCAGTATTGCTGAGGGAAGTACTCGAATGGATTCATTCTTGCAACCAGAAGATGAGTTGACTGAACGCAATTCCAAAGAAGTCCGAGCTTTGAGGAAAAAGTTGCAACAAATTGAGATCCTTGAAGCAAAACAATCCAGAGGACAACTTCTTGATGGTCAGCAAATAGCAAAACTTCAAAAGAAACTAGATATTGAAAGTTCACTTGTAGAACTTGGTATTCCTATTGAAGAGTCTCCAGAGGCAAAATCATCAACAGCTTTGCCACTAGATGGAAAAGCCAACAAGAAGGGAAAAAAGAAGAAAAAAGGAAAACAGAGGTTTGTACAGGTTGAGACATTCCCTGAATTTGGTGAAGTTAAAGTGGATATAGATACAATGCAGGTTAAAGAAACTGAGGAAATCTCTCAAGCTATCAAGCCAAAGGTTAGTTTTGAGGACCGGTTGATCATATTAAATTACGGTTTTAAGGATCCATCTGCAGCAGTTGAATTATTTTTGTGTTGTACTTATTCTACTAGGATGAAAAAATCATGTTGGATATGACGGTGATTAGTGGGTTCCCCAAGGAATCAGACTTTGTCTCACTCTCGGAGAAGAAAGATAATTTACCCAATTCGCCGAGAAGCAAGAAACTTGGAACAGCAGCAAACAAGAAGAAGAACAGAAAGGGTGGGCTTTCCATGTTCTTAACTGGTGCTCTTGATGATCAGATCCCTAAACCTGTTGTTACTCCTCCAACAAAGCCTAAGTTTGAAGGTCCTGTGTGGGGTGGAGCTAAGATTTCTAAAGGATTATCAACCCTCCGGGATATTCAAGATGAACAAAGCAAGACTCGGCTTCAGGAACCTGTTAGGACAACTAAAAATCAGTCAGGCGATGATTCTTCTGGTAAAACCGAAGGAAAGATATTACTGAGTTCCTTCTTGACTACGAAGCCGATTCCAGTGGAATCAGCCAAAAGTTTGCAGCAATCTGATATGGAAAGAGGGACTCCTCCTTGGGTTTCCTCTGAAACTCCTCGTAACCTGTCTCGACCTTCTCTCAGAGATATCCAGATGCAGGAGGTAAGTTGTTCCTCTGTTATAAGAATGCTTACTGTTTCTAAAGAACAGAGAAGATTGTCTTGTTGCATCACAGTTTGTGTTTGAGAATTCATATTTATCTCGGTTGTGTTTGTCTTGTCTAATGCAGGAGAAGAAGCTACAGTCTCTGTCCCACAGTCCAAAGACAAAAACATCAGGCTTCACTGTCGCAACCGGGCAAGGATCTCCATCAGATTCCCCTGGAACTAATCGCTGGTTCAAACCAGAGATAGATGCTCCATCACCCATACGATCAATCCAAATCGAAGAAAAAGCCATGAAGGATCTCCGTCGCTTCTACAGCAGCGTGAAGGTAGTCAGAAACCAGCCTTGATGATGAGTGAATGAGCGCATTAGTTTTCAAGAGCTCTCATTCTCAAAACTCAAAAGTGTTGTAGTTTTAATTGTAGAGATGATGTCTCCACTGTACATTGGATGTCCTCTCAACTGGTCAGCCATTTTTTCTTTCTTTCAGTTTCTTAGTATTTGGTAGTAGCTGTCAAGAGTAGTGCTCATGTCTATGTACATCACTGGTGTACATGAAGAGTCTTCTCACAAGCCATTTTAGATGTACATATTTCGTAATAATAAAACAAGTTTAGATAATTATTTCAAATATCTCCCCTTGTGTAGTAGTCTAAACATTGACTAAACAAAGTCAGAAAGAGATCCAAACTACACATTGGTTCTGTAGTTGAACGTAATGAACCTAATGGTCTCTGTATGTAATATTCAGGTGTCCTTGTCTAGCAGCAACAAAGCGGGTACTGACTGTTTGGTTTAATTATCTTTGTAAAGATGCTTTCTCGAAATAAACAGTTTGATTAGTAATCTCTGCCAACAACCTCTCTCTCTCTTTTATTGTTGGTAAAGAAGAACATAATTTATCAAAACGAAATCTCAACCGTTGAATCGAACCGTGCGTGTCTAATATTCTCATCTTTGTGGTCTGCTTTATAAGGTAACGAAGCTCCCTTGTCTCTCTCTCTCTCTCTCTGTGTCTGGATTTATCTTTCTTATTGTTTTTAGGATATAATCAAAACAAACAAAAGAGAAGGAAGAGAACAAAAGAGATCTGGGTTTATTACAAAACCAGGTTTCGTTTCCTTCTGATTGCGACCATTTCTTCTTTCATGGAATTTGAGATTTTGTTGATTGTTTGACAAGTTTCCTTCTGCTTTTATAGATCTTTTGCTCTGTTCCAGTTCTCCGACAATGAACGACCTCTTAAAGGTTTGTCTTATTATGTCCTTCAAACTTTCATCTGTTTGCTTTGGACATTACGGCGACTTCTGCTCTAAATCAAAGCAAATTTTCCGTGTATCTTTAAAAAATCCTCTCCAAATTTTGAAATTAGAAACTCGGAATCTAGGGTTTTAAATGGCTTGGGTTACAAGATTAATACGAGATGACTTTTCTTTGCATTTATCCCGAGAAAAACCAGTTGATCACACGAATTTTCCTGTGGGATTCGAAGAATCTTGTATAGAGAAAACCAGTTGCTAACAGGATCAAATATATCTAGAGGTTTATGTAAAGATTAAACGTTGTCAAGTTATTATCATATATGTTTCTAAAATGGCATGACAAGTGTTTTGACTGGACAGGGCTCGTTAGAGTTTTCCAGGGATCGCTCTAATAGAAGCGATATTGAGTCAGGACATGGCCCAGGTAACTCTGGAGATCTCGGCCTCTCTGGTTTCTTCAAAAAGGTAAAGCTTTGTATCCATCCCTCTGCAACTCTTCTCAATCAGTGTTTACATGCCTATGCCGCCTAACGAGATCATATCTACTGTATAGGTCCAAGAAATCGAAAAGCAATATGAGAAGCTTGACAAGCATCTTAAGAAGCTTCAGAGGGCACACGAGGAGACTAAAGCCGTCACTAAGGCTCCCGCGATGAAATGTAAACCAAAACGAGTTCGAATTGAGATCTCTGGCGCAAGTTCTTGATCGAAGATTTAGTAGATGAACTCAAACTTGGTTCCTCTGTTTTTTTCTTTTTTCTTCTGCAGCAATCAAACAGAGGATGGAGAGAGATGTTGATGAAGTAGGAAGAATTTCTCGATTTATTAAAGGAAAGATCGAAGAACTGGATCGAGAGGTTAGTCTTAGAGATGACTACATTGTTTTTGTTACATCTGTTTCTATGATCTGTTCATCTTGTCTCAGACTCTGATTGATTTCTTCAGAATTTGGAGAACCGGACTAAACCGGGCTGTGGGAAAGGAACAGGTGTAGACAGAACAAGAACAGCCACAACTATGTGAGTTTCGCCTTTTAAAGCTCAGAATTGTCTTTTCAGTCTTCCTTAACGCTGTTTTCTTGGGCAGTGCGGTGAAGAAGAAATTTAAGGAGAAGATATCAGAATTCCAAGTAAGGTTAAAGAAGGGCTTTAGCAAATTTTGAAAAGTAAAAGCTCTCTAAGAAAGTTGTCCTTAGCTCTCATCTTTGTTATCTGCAGACTCTAAGACAGAACATTCAACAAGAATACAGAGAAGTTGTAGAGAGGCGTGTGTTTACAGGTTTGAATTGAGAATCTGTCTGAAGGTTCAACTATTCCATTAATGATCTTCGAAGAGCTAATTGTCTTTTTTTTTTTTGGTTCTGATTCTTAACAATGATTAGTGACTGGCCAACGAGCAGATGAAGAGGCAAGGACTTTAAAACACTGATTTTCTTGATTATAATCTATTGAATCAGTTCATGATAGTCAATTTTTGGGTGTGTAGACAGTTGATAGATTGATTGAAACTGGAGACAGTGAGCAGATTTTCCAGAAAGCAATCAGGGAGCAAGGAAGAGGCCAGGTTTGTATCTATGTTCTCGCACTCATCTGATTTAACCTCCTGTTCAACTATAACGTGCTTTTTCAAGTCAGGTTATTTGCTCGCTCTGTGCAGATAATGGATACACTGGCTGAGATTCAGGAACGTCATGACGCTGTCAGAGATTTGGAGAAGAAACTCCTTGACCTGCAACAGGTAAACCTCTCCGAGTAACCAAAGACTCAACATTCAGTGTCATTCTTCACTGATTCTTCTCTTTTATGTTTCGGTTAGGTGTTTCTCGATATGGCCGTGCTGGTGGATGCACAGGGAGAGATGTTAGACAACATAGAGAATATGGTAACAATCCCTTCAGTACCTGTGGAATGCCCTGAGTTTGGAATTCTTCAAAATCTTTCTTACTTTGTTTCTATATCAGGTCTCGAGCGCTGTGGATCATGTTCAATCCGGGAACAACCACCTAACAAAGGCAGTAAAAAGCCAGAAAAGTTCAAGAAAATGGATGTGCATTGCCATCCTTATTCTTCTTATCATCATTATCATTACTGTTATCTCTGTTATCAAACCATGGACACAGAAAAATGGTGCCTAAGGTTCTTCTTCTCTCTGCCCTGCTTCTGGAGCTTCTGTATACAACAGTATATATACATACCTGTATCACCAAATCTCAAACTATTGACTTTCCACTATCACTAAATAGATGATGTATTCTTTTGATCGGATCAATGAATTAACTATTTTCAAAGAACATCTCAGCCTAATGGATAAGAATGTGAAACAGGAGACAGCAAGTGTGTATAAAAATCCTGTTGAAATATACCTTTATCTTTTATATCTGTAGTATGTCAAAACAAATCCAGAAAAAAACTATTGGGGGAAAAAGGGATAAAAGAATCTGAATATGAACCTTAATCAGATTTACAATGATGAGAAGAAGAAGAGCAAAAGATACCTCCAGCTTCACATTTGCTTCAAGGGAAGACCTCAGAGAAGGATGAAGCATAACAGACATCCTTTGCTGCATAAGTTGTCTGTCCTTCGATGCATAGAGTGTCTGGAGGCAATACTTGTATCTTTGAGAAGGTTTCGATGTATAGAGTATGCAACTAACTTCGAAGGAGCTACTAACAAAAGAATAACACTAAAAGCTTATTCTCAGAAAGGGGGAAAAAGCCGGGAACTGTAGAAAACAATTAAATAAAACCTCCGTATGTTTCCTTCTTCGCCTTTCCTGAAAGAATCTGGGAAAAATCAAATGTCAACTCACAGCAGAATTTGCATAGTTGTCACGCTAGTCATTAGGATCCCATTCTTCATCCTGGTCAAACGCTGAAGCCACTTTACTTTTTGCAAATTCTTCTTCAGTTTCTGACTGTTCAGCGAGAAGATCATGTTCATAATCAGGCTGATCACCATCATCAGTTTTACTCTTTTCCACTCCAGCTGATTTTATCCATTTAGGGCACTCATCCTCACCTCCATAGAGAAATCTGCCATCATCACTCCGTAATTGCCTGGACTCATCAAGGGCTGATGTTCTACATGAACATTCAGGAAGTGGATGCGAAAGAAACGACCTTGGTTTCGACAGCATAGACTGCCTGATAAGCCCACTTTCACCCAAACTTGAGTTAAGATGTTTCCTTACGCGAAGTGTCCAGTTACGGTTAGGATGGTACATGTCCTCACGGGTAATGTTGAAAAGTTCTTGAATAACTTTCCTGTTTGAGTAAAGTGAACAGTTAATGAATTTGCAAAAGATAGATTCCACAAATGTTAGTGAATTATGAGAGGCATGTTAAGTCAAATTTACAGATTAACAAACCCAAAAGAGTAAGAAGTTTATCTGCATAACGCGTGTGCAATCAACCTAACTATGGAAAACAAGCTAATGCAGTCATTAAATGTTTAACAATAGCCTTTCTTACCTGTCTAGTCTATATGTTCGTGAAGAGGGCCTTTCATAGAGCCTTTGACCCATCACCAAACTTGAAAAATCTGGCCACCCACTACCATCATTGTTGAAACCGGGGAAGAACCCATCAGCTTCTACAGAAACAACAAAATCAAGGGCATCCCACAGTAACCTATGTGCTTGATTCCTAAGATCCATAGGTGAAGGGATTGGTTCTGTGTCATTCTCCGTAAGCCAACCATACCATCCTTCTTTTTCGTGCTGGTATATAGGTCTGTCTGGAGGAGGAGGTAGAGGTCTAGGCCGGGGACCTGCCTTGTTCCACTCTTCTTTGAGCTGCTTATCGCTTTTTCGAGGAGGCATTTCAAATGTATTTTCTGGAAGAGGTATCTCAGGACCAACCAAATCTGATAACTCCTCCAAGCTGCATAAAGAAGTCCTATCCACTAAATTAGGGAACATAGCACGCAGAGGGATCAAAACCCGTTGGCCACCAAACATTTCAGAACCAGCTAAATATATGATCGCTTTTTGAGAATAACCCAATGCTTTCAACAAAATTCCAACCTGCAAAAGTTCAATACCAATTAACTGTTGGCATCATAAAGCCAATTTAGTACCATCAGAACAGCAGTACGAAAGCAATCCAATTGATGCACTATAATGTTAAGAGACACCACAAATGCAGACATAAGGAATAATGAAATATAACAAGGCGGCCTTTAAAGCCATTTTAGCATAACTTGAGACAAGCTCTGAGTACCTCTTCTGGCATGAGAGGACATAAGCCATTGTCCCTGCGCAAGTGCGAGTCTACATTAAGTTCTTCTGAAATCATCTTCTGCTTAATCATCTGAGCCCGCCGATATTGGATGAGTTCACTGTGAATGTCCTTGGAGAATTGAAACGATGTATAGAGTTAGAAACTAATTCCACCATCAAAACTATCTCTCCATGTAACTCAAGCTGATATAAATACTTCGTTCTTACAAAGAATACAGATAGAGAAGGTTGGATAATTTTACCTGGAAAAGCTCAGCACAACCATGATATGCCAATTTTTCCCTCACTAAGCCAGGGTGATAAGCTAGGAAAGGTTGACCTGATTTACGTAACCTAGAAAATAAAAAATACGTATCTCAATTCTGTCAGGATGAGCGGTACTTAGTGGTAAATGGATAAAACCGTGCCACATAGATATAGTCATTTTTGGTTACGTAGTAATCCACCTCAAGATCCCAAGCTAAATTGAGAAAATGCCCACCCCTGATACTTGTTTATTATAGTTATCAGCTTGGTATTCCATAGTTTAAAAAAAAAAAAAAAAGTTTAGCATCAAATGTTCTTCCCCCTCCCCCTAATCGAAAAACACAACTATCTCCCCCTTTCTTCAATTTAGTTTTAAATTGCAAGTATCAAAAATACCTGTCAACCATCTTTTTGCCTAGCACCTGGATTTCTGAACGAAGCTGGAGGGCATGGAAGGCAACTTTACACCTTAATCTTTGAAGTTCAGGCATTGAAGCTGGCAAAGTTGACTGAAAACAAGACAACTTTGATGAGTAAAAACTTCGTCTCACATTTAAACATAAAATGTAAAACGTGATAAGACTAGTGCTGGTAGTTAGCAAGCAAAAATATATCTACTCAAAGACCTCTGTAGATTTAGAAGTTACTGCACACGAAACATATAACACTGTACCTGCAAGCATCCCCCATCAGACACGATCAATCCAATAACATTAGCTTTCTTTAACTTTGGCAATACATCCTCCAGGTAAAATTTGGGTGATGCAGAGTTTTTGGGCTTAAAAAGAGGGAACTCATTCCTTTTTCTTGCGGCTTTCAAGCTCTCAGGGAGGGCCTTTGTAACTATAACATCATTTTTAAGAAAGGCTATAAATTGCTCTTCATCATAAAGATAGGAGAAACTCTTGAACTTGTTGCTGCACAGCATGTGAAAATAAACAAGAGTAAAGACGAGTCTGATACAAAGGCAAAAAAAGCATGCACTAACAGAAAAGCATGGAGAAACGAGCAAAGATATAGAAAAACAACAACATAGTGGATAGAGCTAGGCGCACCTAATGCCTTTAGAGCGAAGACTTTCTTGAAGCTCCGGAATGACAAGAGTAGCATTTAGAAGCCTGGATATGGTGACAAGATCACATATCTAGAAAATTTGCAAAGACGTTATCAACATGCATAACTGAAAATACAAAGAGGAATCTCAAATTATTGAGTCAACTGATACGTACAGAAGATCTTATCTTGTCAAATCCACCAAATATCTTTGCATAAATGAAACCATTGTTTTTTAAACTGGGCGCTGCAAAAAGACAGTGCCAAAAAGAATTAACAAGATAGATAGATATGAAAGAACAAAAGTGAAAAAGAAAAAAAAAACCCAATAGACTTTTCATGTTCAAACAAGTATCGAAGACAACATACAGAATCCCTAATTGGGATTTATATTCCTCTATGGTTTGATACAAAATGGAGTAAACATCTTACGATTGAGCAATTAAGATGCAGACATCAAAGCAGCTAAAAGATATACAGTGTAAGAAATATAGTTGAAGATATATGTATAGAGTGTTATCTGGTGCATGCAAACAAAGTAAGATACAGTACCAGGATAACTATTTCTTGGATTGGCATAAGGCTGCAAGGTCTCTAACGATTTAACAGGCCGCCATAAGTGCTTATTTCTAAAATCCTGCAACAGTCAACACAAAGAGAGAAGCAAAATTCAGGCAAACGACATTCTTAAAATTGAAAGCCAAGAATCAAATTCAATTCGTGGCTGATCACCTGTGCCCCTAACAAATCTTGCCAAAGGTTATCTCTTGCAGAAAACGCCAACTGTACACCTGAAGACTTGGTGATGGAGAGATGAACAACCAGAGATCCCATTGACAAGATGAGAACAAAAAGCGCAATCCATTTTATTCTAGATTTGAACACCATCTTCCACCAGCCCGAATCGAGCTCTTCCCCCAGCTAAAGAACCCTAAAATCCAAAATGGCAGCAAGGAAAATTCAAATCCAGTCGCCAGGACAGATATATCAGAATTTGAAAATTCCCAAACTCAGAAGCTTCTCCTGTAGATTTTTAAAGTATACCGGATTCAAGGCGAGATCCAGGGTCAAACGAGGCAAAATTATAAATGCAACAGCCTCGAGACGAAGAAGCACGATTAGGATCTGATCAAAGGGATGTGTTTAAAACTTGAGAGTTCTCGCATCTTTCTCTCTCAATCGAAGTTTCCAGGAGAAAACAAACAAAAGGCCCGTGCAGTCAGAGATGAAGTAGTTGAATTTAATTTCAGAGTCAGATCGATCAAGAGAGGGAGATTCACAGAGGGGGAGAGAGACTATAGCAGGAGACAGAACTCACTGACAGATTTCCAGAAATCGAAGCAGCGAGGAAGGGTTGCTTTGTTAACAGACAAACTCTGCATATACACAATATATTATGAACTCGACTCTAACTCTACTACAGTTACAATAACCGGCTCAAATTTCGGTTTACGATTCTCGGTTGAGAATCATATACCAAATCCCCATAATTAATCGTGATTTAATTCGTATTTTCTCCTTCATTAATTAGGGCTTCCGTTCTAGTAACCGACAAAAAATACTAGGTTTAGGTTTGATTTGGTGTGTAAGAGTAAACCCGGTTTTAAGTCAATTCTTTAACAGGAAACCAAAATTGAATTGCCGGTTTAAAGTCAGGTAGTTTAGGCGTCGGTTATATTCAATCCGGAAATTCCCAAATCCCAATAACTCAAATCGGTTCGATGTTAAGGCTCTCTTTCAGCTTTAGTTGCTTGATCAGAGTGGGAAAGGGAAACATGAGGTTCATAGCCACTTCGATCGTCAAGAGACTTGAACCAAATTTGATTCCATGATTCTGTAGCAATATGAAATATCTTTTTGATTTCACAATATCTAACTGTTAATTAAACACATAATTTGATAAATCTTTCTGGATCTTTTTGTTTGATTCCATCGTGTCATTACACAAAAAAATTGGCATTTACATTGGAATATTCATATCATCTAAATCAAATCTTTCATTTAAGAAACATTAAAGAATTGTCATCTAATCTACAGTTAAAAAAAAAAGATATGGTTCTTCAGATAATGATCATCCTTGGATCTGAGAAGTTATAGTGAGGAAGGTATCTTCAGGACAAGGGATCGTTAAGCCGCCCATCGGGTGATTGAATCCGAACTCTTCTTCAGCCTTGGTGAGAAGATCTTGAAACAAAGGCTGGTTCAAGAATGAAACTGGCACAAGGTGTCTCTGCTTCTTCTTCTGGCTCTCACCGACGTACACTGCAAGAAACCCTTTTGGTGCTGATGTTTCTTTCCTCGTTCCTGCTACTGAGCCACCTAGTATCTTCTTTGCAGCCATGAAACTTCTTACTAAAGCCATTTTTCTTTTTACAAACTTAAAATCTTGATTTTTTTTGTATTTTCAAGCTCTAGGATTGTTTGCTTCTTGTTGTTGTTGTTGATGATGATATGAAGATGTTGATAGAGGTCGGTATATATAGATAGATCTATGAAGAATCGTATCGTGGGACATGCAAGAATAGAGAGAGTATCACATGGTTATGTTTTCTCAGATGATATTAGAGATTGGCATGTGCTCTTGTTTCTTCATGTTTCCATAAAAAATCGTCTCTGTACGTTTTTGTCCTCTTCTCTCAATCTTCTCCGGTTGAAATTGATTTCTCACGTTACCAAATCTTTCTATAAGAACAAACTTATGTGGGGACATGAGGTTGTTCACCAGCAGAACAAAGAGCCTCTGTCACTAATTAAGTTGTTCTCAACCATACCTAGATATAGGATCACATGACAATGCTATAAAAGAAACTTATGTGGCTAAAATTTATATATCTCTCTTACTGATGTTGATATGATGATGAACAGTTGAACACAGTCATAATGTATCAATGGAGGGTCCATGTTGGAGACAAATTCATATGGTTGATTTGATGAGGTACAAAGTTACTTCACATCATCACGGGCACAACAACTAAAGCTTCTTGTCTTCGTTGTAAAAACAGAGTAACTAAAAAAAGACAAACCAGTAAAAAAAATATTATAGATACATCATGTAGCTTAGAATGTTCAGAGCTATGTCAAGATCTAAATGGAGTTAAACTGAGTTACGTTTGCGAGAGAGAGAGTGGAAGACATTAAAAGAGTTTTATTGTTCCGTCTTCGTTCTTAAGACCACCGTTTCAAGATTTGATGCCATGAAGAAGGTATCTTGTATGACTTAAATTTTTGCAGTAACAAATATTTCTGTAACGTGTATTAATAAGCAAAAAGATTTCTGCAACTTATATTGATCTGATCTCTGTTACACAAAAATTGTATTTACATTGAAATATGTAAACCTCTGAAACAAACACTTCCAATAAGAAAGGAGGAGTAAAAAAATGTCATCTATTTACATAATAACTCTGAATCTCTAGTTTGAGAAGAAAGACCAAAATGTTAAATGTCTTTTTGCTGGATCATCTTCAACTGTGGAGCTGAGAAGTTATACTGATAAAAGTATCTACAGGGCAAGGGATCGTCAAGCCACCCGTTGGATGATCAAACCCAAACTCTTCTTCAGCTTTACTGAGAAGAACCTGAAAGGAAGGCTGGCTCAAATATGAGACTGGCACAACATACCTCTGCTTCTTCTCTTGGCTCTCACCAACGTATACTGCAAGAAACCCTTTTGGTGCTGAAGTTTCTTTCCTGATTCCTACTAAAGACCCACCAAGAATCTTCTTGGCACTAAAGAGACTTCTTACCAAAGCCATTTTGTTCGTTCTTGAAATCTGAGACTTAAAGCTCTCGAAGATGTATGAGATCAAAAGAAAGGTTGTTGATGATAATTCTTTCAGATTTGGGGAGGGTATATATAGATCAAATGAATGAGTTGAAACCTGACTGATACCAATTGAAACAACAAGTGGGGACATACATGAACAACGTTTTCACATGGCTCTGTCTTTTTCCAAATGCTAATCAGGAAATCAATATGAAAGATGACACAGTAGGGCACACAGGCTAATTTGTTTCCATTAAGAACAAGAAATCTCGGATACACAATCATGTTTTTGTAAACATCCAACAACAAAATAATATGTCAAGGAAATAGAAGAAGCTTGAACCACTTCATCAAGTCAACAACCATCAGAATCACTTGACAAGGCATGTGCTAATTCTTTATTAACCGAGTTTTTCTATGAACCAAGAAGCCTTATCGACAAAGTACATCCTAATATATATCCATAAATACAATTTGTACCAGCGAGCTGTAAAAGATCTAAGTCACTAATAGAATAAGCTGATCACAAACACTAACTCAGTTTTAAAACTAAATTTGCAAAGAACCTGACAATAAAGAATTTCTAACATGAATCTGTCAATTTAGTTTCTTTCTTTTTTTTTTTTCTTTTTTCCATCCGGCTTTGCTCGATTACCATTTTTAGTCAGTCAAAGTGTACATGAATTTATTGATTTGCACTTGTGTAAATTTAGTGAAATTTGGTCAAAAACTCAGTTTACTTTCATGATTTTTTTCCTAGTCAGTTTCGAGATTTGGTCTTCTATATTTTTCTACAAGAAAAATGATGTTTCGTTTTATAATTTAAGACCTTGCCATTTCAATAGTAATTATTGACTAAAGACAATGCCATTTCAATATTTTTTTCAGATATATATATGTATCCATTATAGTAATCTCTCTCATAAGTTTTAGGTTTCACAATTGATCAAACACCATTATCTTCAAATTCTGTCTGAAGCAATGGAGAAAATATCAATCAAGTGTGATTTCCTTATCTTTTTAGCTGTTATATCTGGTAAATTTCACATCTTTCTAAGTTTATGTTTATGTTGAATATATTTAACATATGCAAGTGTTGATTTATTTATAACATATTGTATGTTTTGGTTTTGTAGTGATGATGAGTAGTGTAACAATTCAAAACGTTGAGGCAAAACGTTTATTACATGAAGCAATTCCTGAAACAAAGTTGCATCATGATGAAGTTTCAACTCAAGTTATTACACCACAAATTTTTCAATGCAGAGAGGGTTGTACCCTGAAATGTGTTCCCAATATATTTATTGTTGAATGCTTTTGTTTATGCTAAACTTAATCATACGATCATCATCTTGTATAATCGAATAAAAGTATAAAAAACAGGTTTCACAAATTAATAAATAAAGATGATAAAGGATACAACGTTTCTAATCATAGTCATAGATGAATGCCATTATAGTACGTGTAGTTAACCGATGTTAACGTTGACTAGTTTCCAGTCTAATATCATGCGGTCAACCCAAATTATATATATATATATATATATATATATACACAAAAGTTGGAGACCTTTTTTTTGGTCATCGGCCAATGATCATTGTCCCATGTTAATATCGAAGATTATGCATGCCAACTGAGAAAATAAGTTTTAAATCATCCATCGAACAATATCTCATAAATCAAAGAGTGTTAATTAAAGATAGTGTGGAAAATGTCTATTTAGGGGGGTTTCAACCGTTTCAGTCAAAGTGTATTAATTTGTTATGTTCAGTCTCCGGATGATTTGGTCTTATCATTTTATAGAATTTGGTAAGAAATTAATGTATTTTAATTGATATTGGTAACAAATTAATACAATTTAATGAGTTTCTACTTTTACTTTGGTCAAGATTTGATTGTTGGGAAACAAATGATATATTACTAAAGCGAGAGCATTAATTTCTCAATTGTATAGAATGATAAGTACCACACTATCTTTGATTAACATATTTTTGTAATTAGTACATTTTTGTAAGAGTAAAACAATGGTGAACATGATGTCAATCAAGTTTGCTTTCGTTGTCTTCTTCGCTGTTACATCGGGTAAGTTCATAAACCAACTAGATAAACTTTACATGCAATTTCTTGTTTTTTTTGTTTTGTTTATAATATATTAACATATCAGTAGTTTGGTTTTGTAGTGATGAATATCGTAACAGTTCAAAATGTTGAAGGGAAACGTTTGTTACCTGAAGAATATTCTCAATTTGTGTTGGATCATCATGATGAAGCTTCTCCATCGATTGTCACACCACACAGCTTCCGTAAATTCCATTGCGATCAAAAGTGTCATGTGCAATGTATTATTCGAGAGTCCATGTTTAATTGTATTTGTGTCTGCTAAATTTGTGTCTTTACTACATGTTTCCATTAGCAATAAAAAAATTATTTGAATGAAATATTTTCTTTTTTGGATTATACGTTTAATGCCATCGTTTTCGTTTGTTTCACATCGAATATTTATATCTTTCGAACAAATCTTTTGGTTAGAAAGATGAAAAAATGTCAATATATTTACAATAAAAAAATGAAAAATGGTTGTTTCCTCCTATCTTTTGGTTAGGATCATAGATCATTGTTTATCCTTGAATCCGAGAAGTTATTCTGATAAAAGTACATTCAGGACAAGAAATCGTCAAGCCGCCCATAGGATGGTCAAAACCAAACTCTTCTTCGCTTTTACTGAGAAGAGCCTGAAATGAAGGTTGGTTCAAGTATGAGACTGGTACAAAGTATCTCTGCTTCTTCTCTTGGTTCTCGCCGACGTACACCGAAAGAAACCCTTTTGGTGCTTTGCTCCTTCTTGCTAAGGCGCCGCCAAGAATCTTCTTTGCACTGAAGATACTTCTGACTAAAGCCATTTGCTTGTCTCGTAGTTTGATTCTTGAAGCTTTTGAATATGTGTTGCATCAAAGGAAAGAGTAAAGAGATTCAAGATCTGGATTTCTTGTGGCTGATGCTGATACTCTTTCTGATTCAGGGATGTATATATAGATCAAATTAATGAGTTGAAACATGTCTGAAATCAATTGAGTACAATGGTGTCTACAAGTGTGGGACATCAAGGGAGAAAAAAAACCACATGGTGTTGTCTCACTTTAAAAGCAGAGCTATTGCAATCTACTTATCTACACTCACATAGGACCGAGAGAACAAGATCACATGTTAAGACCATTGAAGAAGTTTCTCTATGTTGATTGATATATGATTAAATCCATCTAACTAAACATGTCACAGTCTGTCTGCAGAACCTGGATCATATAAACACAATAAGAAAACAATCAATAGATGGGACCAGATTAGCTAGGACATAGAAACTTCCAATCTATAGAGCTTTTGTCATGTGATATGTTGTTGAATGTATTGTGATATAAACTTTTGTTGTCTGAAACCTGACCCCAACTGACCATAGTATTGTTAAGAGGTTTTGGCCATCAGAAGCTGGTTTTTTTACCACAGAGATCCAATCCCTATCTTCAATTCAAGAAACAGGACATAAATCATTACCAACCAATGAAACATGATAGAACAGAACTGACCCATTACTGACCCATTGTTTCATATATTGTATTAATATTTTTCTGATTAGTATTTGATAGAAGCCAGACAGATGCATGTGAAACTCTCAATTCATTTGACGTCCCCACACTTGTTTAGACCACAGTTTTCAAAGAACCCGTGAGAAATTTCAACTTGATCTATTTATAAGGACCCAAAACAGAACAACATCTTCATAACCACCAACAATAAGCAATCCAAGAACTCTTAAGCTTCAAACATCAAGACTTTAGACAAAAATGGCAATGATGAGAAGTCTCTTTGTTGCAAAGAAGATATTTGGAGGCTCCTTAGCAGGAACGAGGAAAACAACTTCAGCACCAAAAGGGTTTCTTGCAGTGTACGTAGGGGAGAGCCAGAAGAAGCAGAGATACTTAGTGCCAGTCTCATACTTGAGCCAACCATTGTTTCAAGATCTTCTCAGTAAATCCGAGGAAGAGTTCGGATATGATCATCCAATGGGTGGTTTGACGATCCCTTGTCCTGAAGATACTTTCCTCACAGTAACTTCTCGGATCCAGGGATGATCATCAAAGATCAAACTTTAACACACTTTTTTTTTAATGTAGATAGATGACAATATTTGATAGATGACAATATTTGATAGATGACACAATTTTGATCCAAAAAAAAAGATAGATGACAATATTTTTTCAATTTCTTGCTGAAACTTTTGGTCAAGAGGATAGAAGTTCCAATGTAAATACCAGTTTTTTTGTTTTTTTTGGTGAAAATGAATGATGGAATCAAACAAAAGATCCAGACAGATTTCTCAGATTAACAGTTTTTACATAAAATCCAAAAGATATGTTATGCATATTTCAGAATCAGCAAATCATTATCAAATAAAAACTGTAAATAAACACACCATATAAACATATTTATTCAATACAAATATTAGATTAAACCATCCTATATTTACTCCATAAATCTATTAGATTTACACACACACAACTCATATCAATTGAATAGCATATAAAAGCGTTCAAGCAAAAAAAAGACAATGATATATAACAAATTAAGGATAACAGTAATATCCGGATCCGTGGCGCAATGGTAGCGCGTCTGACTCCAGATCAGAAGGTTGCGTGTTCGATTCACGTCGGGTTCAATCCCCCGAACTTTAATTCCGGATAATTTTTTTTTTCCTTCTGCGGCGCCTAGCTAACCTGGTCCCATGTGTTGATCAAGGTTCTGCAGGCAGACGGTGACAGCGTTTGTTAAATAGATTCAATCACTACAGAGGAACCTAATCTCTATGTCCTTGTTGTACATGTGATCTTGTTCACTTGATCTTATGTGAGTAAGATTGTAATGGCTCTGCCTTAAATATGAAAACAGAACCATGTGAAGAAAACTGTGTTCATGTAAGCCCCACACCGTTGTTTTCAATTGATTTTGGACAGCTTTGAAGTTTCAACTCACTCACAGATCTATATATATACAACATCATCAACTTACAAGCAATCAAGAACTAGAATCTCTCTCATTTGTATCTATACATTACATCCTTTCTTCACAAGCTTCAAGAATCAAACTCCCAGTCAAGAAAATGGCTTTGGTGAGAAGTGTCTTCAGCGCAAAGAAGATTCTTGGCGGCTCTATAACAAGAACAAGCAAGGCACCACCAAAAGGGTTTCTTGCGGTGTACGTCGGTGAGAGCCAGAAGAAGCAGAGGCACTTTGTACCAGTCTCATACTTGAACGAGCCTTCATTTCAAGATCTTCTAAGTAAAGGCGAAGAAGAGTTTGGTTTTGACCATCCGATGGGTGGCTTGACAATCCCTTGTCCTGAAGATACTTTTATCAGTATAACGTCTCAACTCCAAGGATGAAGATGATGATCCAACAAAACTACATTAACAATTTTATTTTTTTTACTCAAACTAGAGATGTATGAGTATTCGATGTAAATAGATTGACATTTTTTGCTCCTCTTTCCGTTTTGATGGAGTTTGTTCCACTGGATTTAGAAACATTTGATGTGAATGCCATCTTTGTTTAAGAAAGTTCATTGAATTATTACAAGTTGCAAAAACTTTTTCTTCATCTAATGTAGTTCAACGTATTGAATTTGAATATTTGATTTGAGTATGATGAGTTGGCTTAATGACGTAATTAACATCCGGATCCGTGGCGCAATGGTAGCGCGTCTGACTCCAGATCAGAAGGTTGCGTGTTCGATTCACGTCGGGTTCAATTCCCCGAACTTTAATTCCGGATATCTTTTTTTAATATATTTTTGGGCTATTCCCAGTTTTGATTCAGCTCGGATACTAGGATTCAATCCCCTGAACAATGTCCCGATTTGGGGCTAAATTAGAAGGCCTTAGATATCATCTCAGGCCCATATATGTTTCAAACCCAAGTTTAAGGATCTTGATTAAAGGCAAGTGGGTTTAACTTTTTTAAATATACAGGATCGTTTTTTTTTTGTCAACAGTTATATAATTTTCATAATCATTACAATTGACCTGAAAAACAAAGAACCCATTGATGTCAGGAAAAAAATAAAATAAAGAACCCATGGAGCCGTTAACCATCCAAAAATAAAAATAGTCAACTATCAAAATTTGGTAAGAGTTGTAAGAAAACCCTTCATGTAATTTTTTATTTTACAGTATGTTTTTTTAAAAGTAACACGTTTTTCATTTATTTTTCCTCAGTTTTAAGAGATAATGTTAAATTAGTAAAAAAAACTAGAAATTTTTCGACATAAGAACAAAGCAGAATTAAATGGTGTTCCAGAATTTATAAGATCGGGGGTTGGGTATTTAAATCCCAATATCACAAAAAGAAAAAACACATCGAACCAGAGAGACCAATAAGCTTTTACATATTTCGAGCTTGGCGTGTTTCGATCTCTTGTTTCTTCTCCAAACAAACAAATTCAATAGATAATCTTGTGATAATTTGGATCCGAGATTCCCCAAATTTGTAAAATTAGGTTTTGTTCTTCGTCTCCTCCTTCTAGCCCTAGAGCCTAGTGTTCTTTTTCTTTATCTAATTCATTACTGTTTGATTTCTACCTTTGTTTCGCTTCCCTCCTCCAATTTTGCAGTTTCTTCTTCCTAAATTTTGCAATTTCGTTATTTAGCTACGATCCTAGTTTTCTCTTTCTTGCTCAAGTTTCCATGGATTCTCGGGTTTCGATTCTCCTCTTCTGTGCGATAGCTCTCTCATGTTGCTTTCAGTCCGGCTTCGCTTCATCCCTGGTGGACTTTTCCGTCTGCAATTACGAATTCGAGCTCTTCCGGTTCGATTTAGCGGCGAAATGTCCTCCTTCCCTGTATCCAACTCCTCCTATTGAGGTACCTTTCCATGATTTTCCGACTGTTGTGACCGCTAAAGGGTTGTTGTTGTAACTAGCGTTAGGTTATGCAACTTCTGCTTTCTTACTGCGATTGGATTGGGGATCCTTAACATCTTTTTTACCATCCGAATTTTGTAACTTCATCTAGACTTTGTTTAGGTCAGAGTTTAATGCTCTTATAATCCGTATATTGTGTAGTAGTTGCTCTGTCCGCAAAGATTATATAGCAGAATTTAAAAATAAGTCTGTTTTGGTTTTTCTAAGGCGATGAAGTTGGATCTGAAGCTTATGTTCTTAACTAAAGCAGTGTCTAAACTTGCATTATGCAGATAGATGGAGACTCACTGGACAGGTTAATGGCTTTAAACCAGGGAAATTCTTATATGTCAGTACTCTTTTATGCTTCCTGGTGTCCTTTCTCACTTGCTGTTCGCCCTAAATTTGATATGTTGAGTTCGATGTTTCCTCAAATACAGCACTTAACAGTGGAGCATTCTCAAGCACTACCCTCGTAAGAAGCCTACTTACTACTGTTTTTTTGAAAGAGTACATGGTTTATTATGCTAGTTAGTATAGCAGGGAAGTCGATTGAATTACTTGCATCATGGAGTTTTTTGTGATAGTTGACTTGAGAGTAAATCATCTTAAACTGCTGTAACTTTGTCTTATACAATTCATTGACAAATATCCATCTTATATTTGTTGATGTTAGCTAATTCATCATCACCCTATCTGCCTTGTGTAAATGCCTCACTAGTGGGTTCCTCTCCCAATTTCTTTTAGGTCTCTTCATGAGTTTGGTGTTTTCGTTTGTCTTACTAATTGGTCTCATTAATTTCTTTGTTGCAGTGTCTTTTCTAGGTATGGTATTCATAGCTTACCTTCAGTCCTGATGGTAAATCAAACTTTAATGGCTCGGTACCATGGTCGAAAGGATCTTACATCCCTGATTGAGTTTTATGAAGAGGCAACAGGTGAAACACCAAACCACAAAATCTGCTTGTGTTTTCTTCCAATCTACCTGATTAGACGTTTTATGTCCAAGTTATGACTAGCACATTTTGGTTTGAAAGATGTAAAAATAACTGATTGTTCCTCTGGCTTTCCAGGTCTCCAACCTGTCCAGTATGTGGCTGAAGGGGAGCCAACACGCTTAGAAGCCGACGATGATAACTTGATCACATGGTTGCGCAATGGGACATCTATCGGAGGAATATTCAAGCAAGATCCGTTTTTGGCACTATCTCTGCTGTTTATCTGTTTACAGATGGCAATCCTTGTCTTCCCCGTAGCTGAATCGCGCATGAGAGCGCTATGGGATTCTTATGCTCCCAATCTGAACCTGGAAAGATTTAGAGAGATAAGCCAACTGTTCAGCCGTGGTCTTCATATGGTCGATGTGAGGAGGTTATGGTTGAAACTTAGACTCATCAAAACAAGGAACTTCCATGAAAGGGCAAAGAACGCACAAGCCTGGGCTTCATCGCTTGCATCGGTCTCTCTTGGCCAAACTTCATCAGACCAATCCTGATCCTAAGGGTGAAAATCAAAACCCTTGAAAGATATTATAATATCTTGTCAGCAGCGTTGGAAAGAGGTAAGCTTTTAAGTGTGTTCTGGAAATCTGAAAGTTCCTTTAATGAAATGTTATATGACAGACTTCTGAGTTTACTTGTCTGCATCGAAACATGTAAATCCAGTAACAGCTTTGCTTCTGTTTGTGAATATCTTATTTCTCCCTTTTTTTTGTTTTATAAAAATTTGAGATGTCTGTTTTTGGCCTGATTTCTTTTACTGAATAATCTGATTGAGTCAACTAAATGTGTGTCTGAAGCTTTTTTACACAGCTTTGTATTGTAATGTTTGTTCGATTTCGGTTGGCTCTCTAGTCTCTACCATTGTTCCATTCCATTATATAAAACATCAAAACAAAACCCAAGGAATCAAACTTAAATGTCCAAAAGTAGGTGGAATAATTTGCAGAGCTTCAAAAGTTAACTTTAAAAAAGGTAAGAAAGAATAATCATTTTGGTTTCTTAGGAAAATATAAGAGGTAATATCTATTAAGAAAGGGATGAAAAAAAGATAACAGCTCCATTGATGATTTTTGAAGGTTTTATAAATCTCTAAAAGCCTTCTCCATAAACTTCAACTAGCTTTTTTCAAAATTAAAGGCAACGAAAATGAAAACACTTCAAAACGAGTTATTCCCAAAACTAAAAAAAAAACGCAGCAAAAACACAATTATTACTGAATCTCTGGTATATAGGTAGCGTGTTCACATCAAACTATGTAATTCGACCTTTTCTTTTTTTAATATGACTAGTGACACAATTTAGTGCTAAAGATTCTTCGTAATCTCTTTACTCCAACATGATATGTATCCAGCAGCAATAAAACTAAACGTTATCCAAAACTAGTATTTAACGTTTTAGCTATATAAAGAAATGTATTGACATTAGCTAGCTAGGGTCCGAATCTACCTTAGCTCTAATATAGTAATCTTAATTTCTAGTCCTAAGCAAAATTAGGATTATAAGGGCAACCACAACAAGAGTTTTTAACATAGGTTATTTGTATTTAAAACATAAAAAATAAATCAAAATATAGGTTAATTAGAGAGAACTCTTAATAGAAAGGCTCTCAATAGAGAGACTTTTGTTGGCTGAATAGACGGTGATGTGGCAGCATGTGAGTGTCCAAAGTTACAAAAAAAAAAAAATAATAACTCAAACACAAAATTTTTTTAAACAACTACTAGTACAATTTACGGTCCAACATGGTATAATTGGTTTTCATGGCAAGCATTATTGTGTTCATTAACCGATCTATCTTTGTTGAACCAAATCAATTTAGTTTTTCAATCTTTCAATTTCTTATTAAGATTATGGCATTTAAAAAAAACCTAATATCCATTTACTAATAAGATATTTCAAAAGAGAAATTTATTTTAATTTATTTTCTATAGATACTGTGTCTCTCATACTGACTTCTACCAAAATGAGAGATTGGATATCCTTTGTTTAGAAATTTGTTTCTTGTATGCTTTTTGTTTTTTATATTTACTTCTATGTAATGTTTTTTTTTAAGTCATGTTTATTTAAAAAGTAATAAAATGCAATCATTTTTTAAATAATTAAATTAAAAATAAATTTAAAGAACCTAAAAGTTATTATCATTGTAACACAATAAATTTAAAAACCCTATAACAAACTTTTCATCTCAAAACTTTTAAAATTTATACTATAAATATTGTAAAGAATCCACAATGGAAGAGACCCATTGTGGATGGTCTAATGGACTCTAGAAAAATAAAAAGAATCAAGTCATATTATTTGCTATATAGCCTTATGTTATAACTAATATCTAGAACAAATCTAGATTGGTAGTATACTCTTTGAATAGTTGACTTAGATGATCGGTGTAGCCGAAAACCTAGTAGTGATATATCCAGAAGGATGATATGAATTTGGGAAGAAGACTTTCTCATCAATCATGATGGAGGAGAAGAAGTAAAGATCTTTTCAAAGAAGGCAATCGATGGTTCTTCTTGGGATTGGGGGGTCCCGAGAGAGAGAGGACCACTTCTTCTTCTTCTTCTTCTTCTTTTTGTCACTTCATTGCCTTCTTAGATAAGCTCTAAATTCACTTTCGTCACCCACATCTTCGAATCATATTACTTTATTCATAATCTAAAGTCACGTACATGTGTCTTTGTATACTTGTGTGTCCATTTCATATAATATATATCAATCGATGTTTACAACAATACAAAAACTGATATAATTCTTCACAAAATTAAAGAGCTTATTGATCATCATACCCGTTTTCAAGCTAATTTTTTTCAAAGCAACTTGTGTATAATTAAAATACCAATTATATGTGTTTCTTGATTGTCTTTTCTTTTAATCTCCCCTATTTATTTTCAATGAAAGAACATATCTCCAACTATTATTATTAATTAATCTACAGTTTGAATCTTCTTGTATCTTCTCTTCTATTAAATCTGAGCTTGAAACCCCTTCACGTGGGAGAGAGAAAGGGAGAGAGAGAGAGAGAGAGAGCTGTTGTCTTTCCATGAAAATACCAAACCCACTTAGCTCTAATAATTCAAAAAAGAACAGATCTCACTTTCTTTCCTAATTTCTAAAACCCTAACTCAAGTTCCAAATTTTGTCGGATCAAAGGAAAGATTTATGGATCTCGAAGATTGGGAATTACTCTCTAATAACAGCTTCAAGGATCTTGATCATGACGAGGATCATCATGGAGCGGTGGTGATGGATTACTTCCTCTGCCCATCATCAACTCAAGATCCTCCTCCAAGATCCATAGTGGTCCCCAAAAAGCTTATCCAAGTTCCCATAGCTTGGGAACCCGTGTTGGATCAAGACAACACCAAGACACCCAACAACCCTGGTCTTGATCCGGATGATTCAAAACAGACCCTTTCGACGGACTCTGTTCCGTCACCTAGAGTTTCCTTCAAGATAACGAAGGAGACTGAATTTGCCGACATGAAAATTGATCCACCATCGAGGATCACGAGTCCTCTGCCTCAGATCGATGATGATGATGATGATTTGTCGAAACCCACTGCTTTAGAAGGAGGAGATGACGTACGATACAAGACAGAAGTTACTCTTGAGGAAGAAGATAATGATATTGATGGTAGTAATAATGGTGAGAGATTGAATCTATGGAAGGCTGGTCTCAACGGGATTGGAGCTATTTGTTCTTTTGGTGTCGCAGCTGCTGCTGCTACCGTATGTGTCTTCTTCCTCGGACACAACAACAATATCAAGATTTCTAAGAACAAGAACCAGATGCTAAGGTTCCAGTTTTACTCCGATGATAATAAGGTATCCTGTTTTTTTTTTTGTTTTTTAATATGTTCTTCGTTAATTATTTTCATTTTTACAAATGTTTTTAGTTAATTATATATTATCAATTAAAAATGATGTTTGTATATTGATTAGTTATATGATATGAAAGATAAGGGAGTGATAGATTTGGATAAGAGAGATTGTATAGAAAAAAATATCCTTCTACAAAGAGCAATATATATTTGTTAAGATAAACCAAAAATAGTGAAAAGGGATGGTAGAAAAAGTATTTTTGTGATGATTATAATGGTTCATGACGATTAGTTGGTAATCTGTCTGCTTAATACTAGCATATTGGATAAAGTTACACTTTTTTATTTATTGTATTATGATTAACTGATTGATAACTTTTGATTAAAAAATCGAAACAAGTTTTGAATATTTTAAGCGGGCCAAATGATAAGCTCAAAGTTTACGTGTTTAAGAGAACAATCTCTAGCTATGATGAAATTGAAAAAGAAGGATTCTCGTTTTATATACCTTTGTACGTTTTGTATTCTGATTAATTGTTTCTTGTGCTAACGTCAAACTGTTTAGAAGAATTGTTCTTCGTTTTACTAATTATAGCATCCATTGTAACAAACCATTTAAAGAGATAACCCAAGTCAATGACTCCATTTAGATATATAATGATAAGTCGGGTTATAATGTAGTGTATATATAAAGTCACCAATCTCTATATATCTTTTGTAAAGTTTAAATTAGAAGTTGCTAATCAAATTTTGAACATTTTTATTTTGGTGGATACTGCAGAGGATGAAAGAAGTAGTGAACCATGCAACAAAGCTCAACGAAGCAATATTTGGAATGAAAGGTGTTCCAGTCGTAAGAGCTCAAATATCTTTTGGGGGTTACTACGATGGACTTTGATATTATACGAGTAACGAGTCTGTCCATCCATGCCCACAAGCTTCATTACATGTTCAATAGTAGTAGTTCATGGTACTTGAATGGTCCTAGTGTAAATAAATAATTTTTGTACATTATATTATTTTGTATATATGCATGTATTGTAAATAAATCATTTTGAGATTTCATGTAAAAATTTGTTTACTGTCAGTAAGAACTTATATATATTTTTTGTATTTAATTTCTTAAGCATGTTTTTTAAAAGTATGGATCTTATTACATATTGATGGATTTTAAAGTTTATTCTGAAGCCTCCTCCACTCAAAAGTGAAAAACAATTACAAGTGTTGTTGGTATAGTGGGAGAGAAAGAGCTAAACCGAAATTTAGATTCGTTCATATTCAGTTAAAAGTCGGTTTGCCACTGGGTAAATTAACCAGACCGTACAATGTAATCGGACCGTCAATTGTAATCGAACGATTAAGAATAAAGATCCCCCATCAACAGCGATAGAGCTCAACATATATACAAAAGAGACGATGATGCCCTAAGAATGGCCTAAACCATTTTTATTATTGTTTGCCTTCCCCCTCATTTACAGAATTACAGAGAGTCGGTAGAGAGAAAGAGAAAGAGAGACGTTTCTTAGGCTGTCCATTTTTATTCCACCGAATTATAGTTAGACCCGCCGGAGAAACTAGCTACGACGGCGGTCCAACTCGTTCCGAAGTCGTAGAAGTCATTAGATTATCTACTTGCGTCTTTCGCCTGTGTGGAATCATCGATCTGTGTTCGCCCATCACCGGGACTTCTGGATCCTGAAGATATAGGTAACAATTTGCAGACCTCACGCTTCTTTCTCTTATTTTTCTGGAGAAATTTCACATCTTTTTTCGTGGGATTGTCGACCTCATCGTTATCAATTTTCTATCTGAATCAATTTCTTCACTTTTCATAAACGTTTTTCAGTTGGGGCGATCGATCAGAGAGAGGTTCAAAAATGTCTTCATCGTTAGAACAAGAAATTTTCTTACAGTGGGGAAACAAGAAGAGATTAAGATGTCTAAGAGCCAAAGCCAAAAAGATCTCTCGCGCTAAATCTTCTTCTCGGTTTCTAGGTCAAGAAACCCTCCTCCTCCAATCCACTAGATTCTCCAGGTATATATATATATATATTTGATTCCCCTTTTTAGTGTTGTTCAATTGCTCAATACTATACTCTTGGTGTTTAAGCCGAAAGACTCACAATTTGCTGGTGGGGTTTTCTGATTTTGTTTTGTAGAGGATCAGAAGGGGCAATCCTCAGATCTGGACTACCAGATCGACGGAGAACGTCGCCGGAGAAAGAAGAGAGGTATTATACTACGAGAGGTGTAGTGGATAGCATTGGTAAAGATTGTTTAGATGGAAACAATGGAGAAGATAGCAACTGCAAGGAAGAGGCCATGTGGCCCAAGCTGTTTATAACGTTATCAAGCAAAGAGAAGGAAGAAGATTTCTTGGCTATGAAAGGTTGCAAACCTTCACATAGGCCTAGGAAGAGAGCCAAACTCATCCAAAGAAGCTTACTTGTGAGTTCTTCTTTTCAATTCTCTTTTTTGTCTTTTGTTATATAAAAGTGTGTTGAAGATTCTTCAGTTTGTAGTTTTACAGTTTTGAGAATAATGTTTTGGTTTGGTTTATTTACAGTTGGTGAGTCCTGGAACCTGGTTGGCTGATTTGTGCCCCGATAGATATGATGTTAGGGTGAAGAAGAGCTCTAAGAAGGTATGAACTGTTATCATTTTCTTTATCCAGTGATTCCATAATAGTGATTGAGATTTAAGATTTGTTTTATCCAAGGTAGAGAACTGATGTTATGTGTGTGTTGCAGAGGCGAGCTAGAGGATTGAAAGCTATGGGAAATATGGAGACTGATTCAGATTGACAAGTTTCCGTATTCATTTAAGCTAACTTTCGTGGGTTTACTTTAAGCAATCTTTTAAGATCTAGTATATTAGATGAAATTATTCGGTTGAGCACTTTGAACACAAGGATATATCATTTCTTTGTGACAATGTATGTGCTTGTTGTAACTTGTAACATGATCTATTACAATCTTTTGTTTCAAATCATTTAGCCTTACTTCTTCTTCTTTTTATTTTTTTTCTTTTCAAAACACACGCAATAAACTAAACACAAACTTTAGTCACGGCTTCTAATGAGCTCCAGATCACGCATCGCCTTGTGTACCTGAGGGAGTGAAATCAGAGAAGAAGACATGATGCAGATAATTTAGATTCTAGTTTCGTCGTATCGTGTTTTGTTTTGAGAAAGGAGAACAGATACTAAAAATTCATACCAGTTCCTGGTGACGTTTTACCCGGAGTTGGAGCAATTCCTCATCCGCTTGGGCGATTTTTTTAATCTCCATATCTCCTGAGGGATGCAAAAACGAAGAAAGGTAGCAATCAACCAGCAGGCGAAATAAATAAATAATCTCAAAAGATAATAATCATAAACGAAGACAATGTAATTACCGGAGACAATGTAATACGCATATCCAAACAATGCACATACTAAATAACGCTTAGAAGGACGCTCTCTCTGTGCAAACCGAGCCATACGCTCCCACCCATCGTTGGGCGACCCTGCAAGCAAACGAAGAATACTAAAACACAAAATCCTGATGGTACAAAATTTGATGCGAAATCAGAGAAATTTTACATACCAGGCGGTGAAGAGAAATTGCGAGACCCCATGGATCTCCCTCCGCGAGTTAAGACGTTTCTCAGATTCTGCATCATCGTGAAAAATTAGGGTTCGCTCTCTCGGGAATTCTCTTCGTCTCTCAAAAAAGGGGGAGAATATGGTCTTCATCAAATGGGCCTGCCGTTTTGTTTTAATCCCCTTTTCTTATTGGATCATAAACCCCATTTTTCGGGCCTTGAATAATCAAAGTGTCTTTGCGAGAGTTTTACATGGAGGATTTTATTTTCTTAACTTTGAATTGTTTGAATTTTTTTTTTTTTTTTAAACTTCAACTTCCATTATAAACATACACCTTACAAGGCCCGAAGATCCAATGACAGAAAGGCCCAAAAAACTTATACATCCAGAAAGCCCAACAATGCACACATGCCCTACTTACAAAGCTAAGAAAGTCTAAAATAGGCATGCAGGCCCGAGAGAAAGAACAAACAGAAAAAAGAAAAGAAATCCACCTGCAACAAGCAAAACACGCCTGCAACAACCCAAGGGAAAGCGCCTACTAGAAAAAGAATTTTTCACCTTACAAGGCCCGAAGATCCAATGACAAAAAGGCCCAAAAAACTTATACATCGAGAAAGCCCAACAATGCACACATGCCCTACTTACAAAGCTAAGAAAGTCTAAAATAGGCATGCAGGCCCGAGAGAAAGAACAAACAGAGAAAAGAAAATAAATCCACCTGCAACAAGCAAAACACGCCTGCAACAACCCAAGGGAAAGCGCCTACTAGAAAAAGAATTTTTCACGTGTATAGAGAGGCTAATCGTCTGGCAGATGGATCGATTAACTATGCCGTTCTCTATGTCTTTGGGTTTTCATATGTTTACGTCTAGTCCGGAGGATTAGTTCTATTATATTTGAGGATGGTATCGGCTTTTCACACACGAGTCTTGTTCGAGTGTAATCTTATTTTCTGTTTTAATAATACCTAGATGATTTTTCTCCTCTCTTTCACCAAAAAAAAAAAAAACAAAAACAAAATGGTCACAGAGCTATGCATTGGCTATAATGTAAGAGAATTGGGTTACCAAAAAGAGAAGGAAGACTGGGTTTCAAGGATCTAGAAATCTTCAATCTGGCTTTACCACGTAAGCAGGTGTGGTGAATTGTTCAAGCGCCAAATAGTTTGTTATCTCGTTTCTTAAAAGCAAAGTATTTCCCACGTGATAATATCTTTAATGCAAATCATAGAGTTAAAGTTGAAATCACTACTAGAAGAGAGAGAGAGATCTGATTAAGCAAGGAATGAGATTGCTAATTGGGAATGGATGTAATACAAGTATGTGGTCTGATCCTTGGTTACCAACACCACCACCACGGCCCCCAAGAGTTAAGGAAGGAGTTGTATCTGAGCTATGTTGTGTTAAGGATTTGATGTTGAACAATCAAAAATGATGGAATTGGCCGTTAATAAAAGCCCAAATCGATGATGAAGATGTACAACTGATAGTACGAAAAGTAGTACCTCTTCACCAAATTTACTTGGATGGCACTATAATGATTCGGGTCTCTACACTGTAAAATCTGGGTATTGGCTTGCTTCTCATCAGAGTGTAGATCATAATCCAATAAGACCTCCCACAGGTCTTCAGAATCATAAAGCTGCAATTTGGAAGATAAAGACAGCTTTCTAAACTAAAGCATTTTCTCTGGAGAATGTTGTCGAGTGCTTTAGCCACATGATCGGAACTGGTTCATCGAGGAGTGCAACTGTCTGCGATTTGTCAGAGGTGCTATCAAGAGGTTGAGACCATAGAACACTTGTTTTTTTAAGTGTCAGCATGCTCAAGAAATATGGCCAAGGCATGATTGGTTGAACCCGGTTATAAGCAATCAACGAACGCCTTATACCTATATGGATGATATAGCATAGCGTATGAAGAGTATGAATCATTTGGCCCAAATTCTGCCGAATTTTTTTTTAAAATTGGAAAAGCGCAAATCTAATAGGATCCAAAAAGGAAAACGGCAGGCCCATTTGATGAGACCATATTTTCCGAGAGCCAACCCTAACTTTTTTACGATGATGCAGAATCTGAGATTCGTCTTTGCGCAGGTTTACTGCAGAGGGAGATCCCGAAATTTCTCTTCAACGCCTGGTAACATCAATGGTAACGCTCTCTAAAATCGCATCAAAATTGTGCAAGTGTCTGATATCTAATTATTTTGTGATTTGTTATTGTATTAGTGTCCTCCAGGGGATCTTCGTGGGTAATAATAGTTCGAGGAATAGCAGCCGCTGCGGGAGGATATGCCATGGGTAAAATTATAGAGAGCGAGCGAGCGAGCGAGAGATGTTCTTTTTTTAATAATTAAATTCTCTTAATCGTTTGTTTCATCGAATAATAAATCAATCCGCTTTGTTTGTGATTTCTTTTGTTTATTTAAGGTCCTTTTGTGTTTGACGTTGCTGCAGAGAAGAAACTTATGGTTGAAGAAAATAAAAAGGTAAACAAAAAAAACGAATTCTTGAGCAGAGGGATGAACCAATATTATCTTGTCATCACCTTTTCTTCTTCTGTTTTTAGAGAATGAAGTTGCATGAGGAACAATTCGAGGAGTCGGAAAAGTACTGGTCTGATTTGGTAGCCCGTCGGAAGTCGGAACAGACAAAGAGGTATATAAACATACTTACAATCTTCTGACAATTGTTAAACACCATTTTATGTTAGTCATTTGATATTTTTGTGTTTGTTTTCAGGCAGTGAGTATGAGTAAGTCTGAGGAAAACTTCATCAAGAAAACGAAAATCTTAATTATCTTTTCAATCTTTGTGTGGTATTATGTCACTGTGGACTAGTAGTCATTAAGGAAATTGCGTTTCTGCTTTTCTTTACCTTATATATATATATAATGTGTTATGATAGATTTCTTCTTTTCCCTGAGTGTAACTTCTGTGGCAGAAGTATGTGTTTATGTGAGTTAATGTGATGCCTGGTTCATGGTTAGCACTCTACCATGATGCCGACATGATTAATGACAACTTGTTTAAGATATTCTATAACAAATTGCATTCATTCCTTTGAGCTGCAAAATTTTACTTGGGAAAAAATCAGGTTATACGAGATGCGTTTAAATGATCCTTTGAAGCATACTCTAACAAAGTGATTGCATGTTTCAATGTAAAAATTTATAGAGACGGTGAGTGTATATACCTAGTTTCACCACTACATCGTTAACAGAAAAACCCTTAATTACTTTCCTTAAATGTTTTTTCTTACGATAACAACTTGGGCATTCAATGAACAAACCTCTTACTCTAACTCGACCGAGTCATCTAATCATGCTGTGAGCTAACAAATAGCAATATTTGAGTGTATGCATTGACTATGCTAAATGCTACAAGTCAGAATACTCAAACATTTGAAATGGATATTACAAGCAGTATTCAGTATTTGAGCAAAAGAATATAACAATATTAACTATAGCAAGAAGTATAACACTTATACTGTATATTTTAAATTGATGTTGCAAGGGAACAAGTCTCATTTGGGCAAAAGCCACTGAGCTATGCTCGAGTCAGAATCAGCTCGAGTCAGAATCAGTCCGTCGCTTTAACCGCTTTAGTTTACAGATAAAGGTATCTCAATAGACAAAACAAAAGGAGGCATCAAAACTGACTCTCTTTCTTTAAATGTATTAGATAATCAGCAAGCATTGTCATAAGATTATCTTCTAGTAAGACAATCGTACAGTTCCATGTAAAAAGTTGAGTTCAAAATAATGGTTAGGAAGAAGGGAAAACAGATTTGTCACCAGTCAAAAATTCTGAGTTATTACATAAGCTTTAGTCCACTTGTTACTTCATCAACACTATCAACCGGTCCTGCACAAGTAACACTCTCTTATTAAACTATTGCAATTGTATCTACAATATGTGATATTTTGCTACTATTTGACTCATCTCTTCTCATAGATTATCATTCTTACCAAGAATAGCCATTACTGTTCTTGAATCTGGGAAAAGAACAGAACAAGTAGCACATTAGATTCTTCTACTGTCAGACTATGGTTAAGTAGGATTTAAAGATTGAGAGTCTCTTGAATTCTAAATGACAGTAACTACGGGAAACTCACTTGGAGCGATCTGTGTTTTTCCGGCATCAGTGGTGATATGGGTTGGTAGTTGAAAGGACTTTGCTCTTCCCTGTCGTTAAGAACAACAATGTTAGACAAGATGGTATGAAACTGCAGAGTTTTGCAATATTTCTTCAGTAAACTCACTTGCAGAACTAGCATCTCTCCCTCACTCTCGATTTTGACAACAACTTTTGGCTGAGCACAATATTCCCATCTGCAGTAGCAATCAATATTTTATAGGAAGAGAGCACAACCAAAAAAATGCTAATCTCGTCTGTAGCCTATGAAGAAAAAGAATAATTGTAGTAGACTAATGACATGGTGTGATGTACCTGTCCAAGGCTCTTGTCGCCCGTTGAAGGAGTTTTTTGTATAAACCTAAAGTTGCATGACTATATATAATGCAGAGCAGAAGAGGAGTTGTTAATCGAATATAATAAATGCTATTGAAAACTGATAAGAGAGTTGATGATACTCACCTGCATTGAGCTGCAATCTTCCCTTAACCCATTTTAAGATCATTTCTCACAGGCAAAACCTATACAGACAACAACAACAACAACAAACATTAATATCAACTTCTGGTGTCTGTGGTATACAATGCAAAAGGCAAAGGAGGCAGAGAGAGTGAGCCTAGAAACCATTTTGAATTTTTTTGCGAAAATCAGCGAGTCTCTCTATCTCGAGAGGTTCCTTGGATTTAGTCTTCGAATTTCCGCTGGAACCTGTATTTATGGAGACAGATTTGAAGGAGACAAAGATTCTGCGGGTTTGTGGTAAAGTGCTGAGGTAAAATCCAAGTGCAGCCCCAAGAAGTAAAACACTCATTAGCCACATCCAATCCACCATCCTTGAAGAAGAATTGAAAAAAGAAAAACATAGACACGGAACTTTCATTAACTCAAACAATGTAAATCAATGAGGAAAACAAAACAGCTTAAAGAAAAATTAGTGATTTTGAGAGAAACTAAAAGGATTGAATAAGAAAGTTTTCTCCAGTGATTATGCAACAAGTGCATTACTTGTGTCTCTAGCAATCAGTAAAACATATGCTAGTTTAACATTAAACCTGACACAAAAGCTGTGTTGATTCGATAGTGCTACATCGTTTCATCAAGACATAAGGGATTGGTCGAGAATTTTTTTAATGAAAAATGAGACCGATCAAGGTTTTACAATTCTACGAATTGGGAATTTCAGAAAACAAGGGACGATTCATCGGAGATACGGTACCTTATGGTTCCGGCGGCTGAGCAGCGACAAGTCTGTTTCTTCTTCTTTCGCTTTTCAACGATTTTGGCGATAGAATGGTGTTTGGGCACACAGATAACATGTACAATGTTTCTAATCTCCTGTTTTTTGTTTTTTTTTAATTTATAGTTTTTATGATTTTCCTTTTGTCACAACACAACTCATAAGCTATTTCCTTTTTTAGGTTTACTTTTTTGTTTGCCAAAAAGGAATTTTGTTTTTGGAAAACTTATCATCTCAGTCTATTAAATTTGATAAGGTTTCTTTTTTCCTAGTAAAAAATTTAGAAAATTTGATAAGGTTTCTTTTTTCCTAGTCAAAAATTTAGAAAAACAGTATTTGTTTCAACTTTGTTTTCCAGAAAATTTAGAGCTTAAAAAATTAATAACCCTCCATAAACTCTACTAAAAGAAAAGGCTTTGTTATTAAACTCCCGAACTCTTCGAATTGCGAAATCAACAAATATACTTTCTTATAAATTTAAATTCTTTTGGATCTCAATTTCATTTTGCTAATGCAGGGACGTGATTTCTTGGGTTCAATGTGCTGGAGCTCATTATGCATTCAAATCAGACATCTTTATGACAAAGTTTGATCTAATGGAACAATTGGTTATAGCGGTGTATCAACTTTGTCTACCATCAATTCCAACTATCAAGTTAGTTTTCTTTTCCACATTGTTTTGAACACATAATGGCCTACTTACCTGCCTTTTTGCTTTGCGTAACGCTAGCAAATTCTTTAATGTTCAATCTCTATCATTGCAGCTTCATATCGGCTCACACTCTAAGATTCCTCAATACTTGGGGGCAGTCTCAGTTGCAGTTTGTTTTGTGGCTGTGTTGACATCCATTGGCGTTTCCTTTATGATTGTGCCAAGGCAAATCATGCCATGGACTGGCTTGATTTTGATATACGAGTGGACATTCACAATCTTCTTCCTCTTATAAGGTGGTTTTCTACTTCTAGTGTATCAATATGGCAAGAAAATCGCTGTTCAAACATGATCTCTTTCACCTAAAAGAGAGTCGTCATTGGATATGTTGAAATTATAATATCAATATTTGTGGCTTTCTCTACAAAATACAAAATTAATCCATGATATAACTCTTTCTGTTTTGGCCAATTCTACTTCATTCTGTGAGCTATATAGCCCAGAAGAAACAAATGTCTTTTTTTGCTGATTCACGTACGACATCTGACTTGAATGTCAATACAAACATAACTTGTGTAGGTGCTGACATGTTTGGATTGGTAACCATTAACGGTTGTTGTGGGCATGAGTTGGGATCAGGAGATCCCCAATTAGCTAATAATAATAAAGGAATTGAGTTGTAGCTGGTGGAGTGGGTGAAATCTTCTTTATGTATCCTCCTTCGCATTTAAACTTTATAATATACAAAGTAGAAAAGTTTTAAGTTTTCATATACAATACTACTTTCACCGCTATTGACATTTATTGATGGAACCTTAGCAATTTATCACAACATCATATTCGTACCATTATAACCCTATGTAGAAGCCAATTTAAGTTAATTTTTTTTGTTTTAAACCCATACTATTAACGGAACCACTGGTGCACTTATATGCAAATAGATTAGAATTTTAGGCCTTACTCTTATTGGGCCCAATGGGTTACTAAAAAGTTAGTTTCACGATTGTTTGTGTGTGTGTTTTTTTTTGTTTCTCTTAGTCAACTTGAACACTTGTATCTATACCAATAAACAACGTTAGAGAGTTTAGCAAATCGGCGTTGAAAAGGTTGAAATACATACAGGCGCTCAAAGAGCTTGGAGGCAACAGTGTGTGACTGCAATGGCCAATTATCGTGAGTACTGAGCAGTACTGACTGCACGGCATTATACTGTCCTTGAATCTGGAAAAAGAATCACATTTCTTCTAATGTCAGACTAGGCTAAGTAGGGTTTAAAGTTTGAGGGTGGCTTGAATTCACCAGCGAAGAAGTGGACATAATCTAGCGGGACTCTTAATGAACTTGTAAGATTAAGGCCAACAACAACAACTTATCCAACAATTACAGCAAAATGTAGCGCAGAAAAGTGATGTAGCATAGGCAAACGCTGTTCCCAGAAGAATATCAATATCATGTAACAAAAACAGAGGTTGATAATAAAGGTGAAAAAACCATAAAAAGTGCTTTTAAACTATAATCTTTCGCCCAAAATAACGGATGCACCAAGTAACTATACATGTGTTAGTTTAAGATTAAAATTAAAAAAGTAGACACAGGCAAATGACCAAAATTTATCAGAAAGGGAAAGGAGGAACGTACGAAGAAGCAAACTTAAGAATCAAGAGGTCATGCTCAGGTGACATTAGCGGATTCTCTTTATCTTGAACCAAACGCTTCAACTCTGCAAACTCACCGCTCAACTTCTCAAAACCATTAATCAAAGTTCCAATTTGATCAATTAACTGTTTAACTGACCGAACGACTTCATCACTTCCAGAATTGATCTTCATTATTTTGTTCAGATCTTTCAAATAGCTCAATCCAAAAATCCAGTTGAACGGTGAGATTGCAGAGTTGAAGCGTTTGGTTCAATATAAAGAGAATCCGCTTATGGCACCTGAGCATGACCTCTTGATTCTTAAGTTTGCTTATTCGTACGTTCCTTCTTTCCCTTTGTAATAAATTTTGATCATTTGCATGTGTCTGCTTTTTTAATCTTAATCTTAAACTAGTACATGTATAGTTATTTGGTGCATCCGTTGTTTAGGGCGAAAGATTATAGTTTGAAAGCGCTTTTTATGGTTTTTTCACCTTTATTATCAATCTCTGTTCTTGTAATATGATATTGATATTCTTCTGGGAAGAGACTTTGCCTATGCTACATCACATCACTTTTCTACGCTACATTTTGCTGTAATTGTTGGAAAGTACCGTGAAAATACCGTGAAAATAAGCCATCAGTGTTCACGTCAGCAAAAACACGAAACTGGAATCGACTGGAAGAAGCTCTTGAAGAGCATCTCGACCTAACCGAAGAGAGGAGTTTCAGATTAGCTTTCAGCATGATCGTGATGCAAGATTAGGGTTTTTCGCAGAATTTCAGATTTTTGGGATGGGGGGCAAAATATTATAATGATATTTTGTTCGATTTTAGAATTGGGTCTTTCTATTGGGCCACAGTCCAATATAGTAAAAGTAAACTTTACCAAAAGGAAAAAAAAATTACTGTTACTAGAAAATGTAAGAACGAAAGCCAATCAATTATATTTTGAAAACAAATAGAAATCTACATACATGCTTATAGATCGATGGAAGAAAAAACAAACACACATATATAACATATCTATCAGTAAAACAATATCAAATCCTAATGAAATTTGATGATCAGGCACTACATAGACCGGTGAAAGAAAACTCAATAACAGATCTACATATATATATCATCAAAACAAACTCAGATCTACATATATATAACGAATCAATCAGCAAAAGTGTTATCACATACCAAAGAAATCTTGAAGATTAGGTACCGCATATAGGCTTGTAGATCGGTGGAAGAAAAAAGCGAGAGCAGATCTAAATATATAACAGCAGGTACTGCGCATAGGCTTGAAGATTAGATTTGACTTTTGTAAAGTTCTGTCGGAGACAGACTAGTAAATTGGACAAGGCGTTAGGGTTTTCTGTGCAAAGATGGGCCTCTTTAATGGGCTTTTCCAACCGGTCCAGGTCTCACCCTTTCAATTAAATTAAATAAGTTAATTATCCTCCAAAACATTTTCTGGTCGAATCTTCCAAAACATATAATCTCATGATTTACATTTTTTAAGGTTAAGTATATTTTTAGTTGTTTGAAATAACTATAATTTGAGTTAGAATTTCTTATACGTATTTTCAGTCCAGATTACGAGATTCCTCTGTAAAACAGTATTTTTTTTGGTAGATATTGAAGACAAAAGTAAAAAAACAGACAATAGCAACAAAAGATAGTAGGATGTCTTGAGTTGACTAAACAGTTGGACTGTACTGCTGCTTTGGACAAGGGGGTTTGTACTTTTTGCGTCATCATTTAGCTTTAACCTTCTTTTTTTGTTTCCTTTTAAGTTACACTAGTGATGGACCCGCACGTACGTGCGAGGTTATTTTTGCAAAACTACAATTTTTTATGTAGATACGATTTTGGTAAAAGTTTGTTATATAAGTTTATTTGAAAAACTATACATAGACATACAGTTGTAAAATATAGATATTGTTTACTTAATATAGTTTTAAAATAATTTAAATGAAAATGTTAAATGATACTACGTGTTTATTTTTTAAAATAATCAAAACATTTCTAACCGTTTGCTTAGAGATGTTAAATCGGATTTGGATTTGGCTTTAGTTTGAATTATTTTACGTATAGTTTGGAATGAAAAACCCGTCCGGTCCCTTTCCGTCTCGTCCCGACCCGTCCCTTCCTGTCTCGTCCCAACCCGTCCCGTCCCGACCCGTCTCGTCATGTCCCGTTCGGACCAGTCATGTCCGTATCGTCCTCTATCCATCATATATTTCTGTCCTACAATCGTTTCTTTTTAAAAACAGAATCATTTGCTAATGTTTATTATAAGAAACTTGGTAAGAGATCTAGACGGAATACTCGTATTTCTCGTTTAAATATTTATTTTCCCACATTAATAAACTCTAATTATATATCTAAGTCACATGCTCCCACCATTTTCATTCACAAGGCACTGCCTCAAATCCGAGCATACACAATCCTTGTTCAATTTTTAATTTTATTGATCGTTCAATTTCATCTTTATTTCCCATTACTTTCTTCAATTCAAAGATTCAAGTTTAGCCTTTTTTGTTTCCTACAGATTTAGGTATTTCTTTTTTTTTTTTAATTCATGGGTTTATTGTAGTTTTGCTGACTTAGTTCTCAGGGTTTTGTTTGTTTCACTTGAACTGTATCTGAGTATCGTTATATACGATATAATATCGTAATGAATTACAAAAATAATTGACTTCTTTATTCTTATT